TTTATTTATTATGTATACAATATTCTGTCTGTGTATATGCCTGCAGGCCAGAAGACAGCACCAGACCCCATTACAGATGGTTGTGAGCCACCATGTGGTTGCTGGGAATGGAACTCAGGACCTTTGGAAGAACAGGCAATGTTCTTAACCTCTGAGCCATCTCTCCAGCCCACTTCTTTTTTTTCTTAACTTGATTTTATTTTATGTACATGTGTGGAAGCCTTACACATGTGTGTTCACCTCATGTGTGTCTGGTGCCCATGGCTACTAGAAGAGAGTGTCAGATCCCCTGGTACTAGAGTTACCAGCAGATATGAACTGGTCAATGTGGTTGTAGGGAACTGAATCCCAGTCCTCTGCGAGAGCAGCAAGACCTCTTACCCACTGAGATTCTTTCCAGCCTTAAAAAAAAAAAAAGGAGCTTTAAACCACCTTAGATATTTCTTTGAACTGTCTTAAGGCCTACAAAAACATCATCAGAAGAAAGCTCATTAGTTTTTGACCCAGAATGTTGTCGTCAGTGAAGCCTTTATTGAGGACACAAAAGTCAGGTCTTCCTTGTTCAAGTTGTTCATGGTTTCCCTGTGAAGCTATGGAAAACTGAGAGATGGAATTAGAGAGATGATTTCCAGTTTATCACTAAAGCAAACCTCCAGGAAATTCAAGTCTTGTCTCCTAGGAGCAGCAGTGGAAACTGGCTTAGAGAACACCAGATCCCTGCCACCCTAGCTGTGGACTGGGGAGCACTCAGCCTCCCTAGTAGGTGACTTCCTTTCTGTCATTGGTTGTTTTTTGAGACAGGGTCCCAGAATGTCAGGATCTCAGTATTGGCTGTCCTGGAACTCACTGCGTAGACCAGGCTGGCCTTGAACTCACAGAGATCCGCCTGACTCTGCTTCCCAAGTGTTGGGATAGAAACCATGCTCCATGTAGGTGGCTCCTCAGAAAGGAACAAGACAGAGGGACATTCCAAAGAGGAAGCATGCAGGGCAAAGACCAGAAGGACAAGAGGACAACAGGATAGTCAGTGTTTGGTAAAACTGATGTTCAGGATGAACGGGCCATAGGGTTTTGTGCTGAGCAAGAGATAGGAAGAAAGCAAAACAGAATAAAAAGTGTTCTATGGCCAAGCGAGCTGCAGAACTGAGATTTTATTTTTAGGACAGTGGTTTTAAAAATGTGGTCCCCAGACCAGCAGCCTCAGCATTACTTCAGAACTAGCTAGAAGTATACCTTCTTGTGTCCAGTAGGTGTGTCTCACACCTACTTGGTCAGAGACACTAGGGGTAGGTAATAACACTCTGTACCCAGGTGAGCCCTTTAAAAAGTATGTGTGTGTGTTTTGTGCACATGCACACGTGTGAACATGTGTGCAGGTAGCATATGAGGGAAGGTGCCCAGGAAGCCAGAAGTGGTGCCTGATTCCCTGGTGTTACAGTTACAGGTGATTGTCAGCCTTCAAGAACTCTTAGCCACAGAGGATCAATCCAGCCCTGTATCCAGTAGTTTAACCTATGATCAAGCTCACAAAGCACTAGTTGGGGCATCATGAGGCCACCAAAGGCCACCTCATAAAAGAGATTTGATCAGAGATGTTCTTTCAAAACATAGTAAGTATTGTGTATATGAATCCCATTTTTAAAAAAAAATATTATTTTTATGCGGATGAGTATTACCTGCCATGTATGTATATGTACTATGTGTGTGCCTGGTGCTCATGTAGGTGAGAAGAGGGTGTCAAGGCCTTTAACTCCCAACACAAAGGAGGCAGAGGCAGGCCTGGTCTACAGAGGAGAGGGTGTCAGATCTCTGGAACTAGATTCAGACACATCTGAGACACCATGAGGGTGTTGAATGATCTTCTGTATGAACAGCGAGTACTCTTAACTGCCTCTCCGACCCTGAGAAGCCCATTTTCAGGATCCATTCACCCAACGATGGGCATGTAGGCTAAGCCATGAGTTGGCTTTGGTGACCTGTGATGCGATGGATGTGGGTGTACAGGGACCTGGGGAATCACATGTAGATCAGAGTAAGTTGAACTTAGAAAGACAAATACTGCATGTCAGGAGGTGACATGAGGACCAGAGAGCACCAGAGGTGGTAGTAAAGATGATACACGTGTACAGCATAAAACATCTGTGGAAACCTATTGTTATTGTGCAAATAATACGTGCTTTAAAGGGGGGTAGTGGTAGTGACATGGGAAGAAGCGAGACAGAGTCTCCTGGTGAGAGAACAACGTGAAGGCAAGAAACAGTGAAACTTGAATTATCAGAAGAGGTGGGACCAGAAGTAGTGGGCAGGAGGGCACAGGGGAGAGAGGAGTCAACCCGGCACCAGAACTACACTAAATAAGCGTGTATTTCACAGCGACTCTTGTTTTCCTGGGAAATAGATCTGAGCTCCCTCCACTAGAAAACCAGGCACCCAAAGTTGAAAGAACTGACCAGTCTCCATTAAAATTACTTCTCTGTGAACTGTCACCCCAACGTGGCAGTTCTATGCCTGTTTTGATGTCACTGTTTCCCTACTTCAGACCACTTATGTTGACTGTCAGACGCCCTCGGAGTCACCGCACGGAAGCAGGTATAGTGGTATACCCCTTTAATACCAGCACTAGCAAGGTTGAGAGTGGGATCATGGGTCGAGGCTAGCCTGGGCTATCAAAGACTCTGATTCGAAAAGAAAAATAAATAGGTGACCTGACAGCCAGAAATGGTCTTTCTACCCAGTGCCCACCTGAAAGCATCGGAATCGCCAGGCCCTGCAGCCTCAAGACTTAAGACCAGACTCAAGTAAACGTATGTTGACAGGTAAATTTTTTTTCTTCTGGAATAAAAAGAAACCAGAAAGGGACTTTTGAAGAGAGTAAGTCACAAAACCAGGCTTGAGTCTTGCGTAGTGGCTATTTCTTGTAATCCCAGCATGTCGGAAGTTGGGACAGGAGGGTAGGAGTTTGAAACCACTCTATACTACATTAAAACATTGCCTCAAAAATGTTTTAAAAAGAAAAAAGAAACGCAAAAAGCACCCAGGCCCGGACCCTCCACATCACTAGACACTCTCTAGGTAGGCCCAACCCAGGGCCAGCACCAATTTGTCCTTTGACAAATGGGGCCTAAGCAGTGTCTTTATTAACCATTAAAAGCAACACATATACAGAAGGACATCCCACATCAACAGCAAGCACCTTTACCCTCTGACCTATATCACTGTCCCTGTGGTCTATTTTTGTTTCTATAGCAACCTATATTCTCTAGAAGGGAAAAATACTGAGAAATATGATATTTTTTATAATCAAACGTGAAGCCATACACCACTGTATACCATATGTGTCATAGGAAACACTCAGAATTCCAACCTAAGGAAAAAACAATGAGAAATAAGGGAAACCATAAAATCTGTTGTAAATAAGAACCTAAATTTATTTAAGCCAGATAATAACACCTGCAAAAGCAGAAATCCAAATGCCATTAAGCATTCACACCGTATTGAATTTGCGTATGCATATATTATGAAATACAAGATCCAGAAGTTGACAGAAACCATTTTTTTTTTTGCTTCTCTGGAGAGTAAATTAAACTGCTAGATTAGATGACAGAAACTGATCATTAGTCTTAATGATAAAAACTTGGTAAATCATCAACAGTAAAAGGTTTAAGCTGGATGTAGAAGTGAGGCATAATGATGTATCCGTGCACTTGGAAGACAGAGGAAGGCAGATCCTGAGAGATGGCTTGTGAAATATTAGTTGCAGATGTGTTACATTTGTTTATGCTGTAAAATGTTTGTTTAATGAAACAAAGAGGTGTTGCATTCTTTTAGGTTGCTTTTATTTAACTCTATGAAGCTGTGTTACTTTGCCTACCTAAAACACCTAATTGGTCTAATAAAGATCCAAATGGCTAATAGCGAGGCAGGAGAAAGAATAGACAGGGCTGGCAGGCAGAGAGAATAAACAGAAGGAGAAATCTGAGAACAGAGATCAGGGAACAAGAAAAGGAGGGTCAGAGTATGCCAGGCACCCAGCCACACTGCCAGACATGGAATCAGAAGGAAAGCAGAGATATACAGCAATAGTGAACAGTAGAAGCCCAGAGGCTAAAGGCAGACAAAATAACTCAAGAAAAGCAGACTAGAAAGAAGCCAAGCTAAGGCCGTCCGTTTATAAGTAAGAATAGGTCTCTGTGTGATTATTTTGGAGCTGTGTGATGCCCCCCCCCCCAAAAGAGTAAAAGAGAAATTAACAACAACAAGATCAGTCTAGTATATATGCAAAAACTTGGATAGTAGGTAGGAGGGCCAGAGTTGAAGAAAAGCCTTGGCTACATTTCAAGACCAATTTGGCCTACATGAGACTCTGTCTCAAAAACATAAAACCAGGACTGAAGTAAAAGCTAGGACTTCCACTTATTAATTATGTTACCTTGGTGACTACCTAATAGTTTCTGCACACCAGTTTTCTGTGGAAAGACTAGAGCTACCTATTGTATTGATCACATTAACATAAGGCACACACAGAGTAACTACTCATTAAATGCTTGCTATTATTATACTATTATCTGGCTAAATGTTTTTATGTGTGCATGTGTGTCTTCAGGGAAACCTCAAGACATGCATCTGCCATTTTGGAGAGTGGGTGGACCTCAGATCACCAGGACACTCTCTACTAGGGTGTTCTTCTGACATGGAAACTGCTTACAGAGAACTGTGACATGCCAGACAGACTCTGCAGGAGGTTTAGCTCTTCTTTACTCATGTCCAGGGAAAGGATTAAAAAGACCGTAAGAGAGACAGCATAGATTGGTTTGATTGAGTCAAAGGTTTAAGAAAAACCAAAAAATAAGAAAAAAACAAAAAACAAAACCCACATCTATTAATCCCAGCTCTCGGGAGGCAGAGGCAGGCGGTTCTCTGTGAGTTCGAGACCAGCCTGGTCTACAGAGCTAGTCCCAGGACAGGCTCCAAAGCCACAGAGAAACCCAGTCTTGAAAAACAAAACAAAACAAAACAAAACAAAGCAAAACAAAAAATCCCAAATATTTGAGGAACTCATCTTTTTATATGCTCATCCGTCTGCTGAGCTGAGTCAGGCAACAAACACATTCTAAGCACCAACTGTCTACTAGGTTCTGTAGCCTGAAAATTAAGACTCTTCTTGTTCTACTTATTATCAAAGGTTGCCTGAACTCCTCCTGGGCATGTTTCTCACTGTGGGTAGGGAAGGAAGTGGGGTTCTCTTCCAGTCAATCCTGTTTTTAAACTTTCCATTTACACAATGGTTTCACTTTCCCATTTACACAAGGGTTTTACTTTTCCAGGCAGAGATTAAAAACCAAACAACTAACATACCACAAGAGAGATGGCCATGGAAAATGATCAAAGGTGTTGGGAGAGAACTTACTGTTCTTGGGTTTAAGTCCCAACACCAAAACCAAACCAACCAAACCAACCAAAGAGGCAACAACAAAAACCCCAAACAAACAAATACAATCAGGCATGTAGCACCTGTCTTTTACCCCAGCTCTCAGAAGGCTGATGCAGGTAGATCGAAATTCAGGACCAATCTGGTCCACAAAGAGAGTTCAAGAGCTGCACAGAGAGATCATAGATCAAGCAAAACAAGCAGCAGGAGAGGTTCTACTAGTTGCTAGCGGTTCAATGAAAAATATAGAAGGTGACTTCATACTGGGCAGCACCCCTGATAGAACACAAGAATGAGATCAGACTTCCTCAGCCAAAATTTGAAATCCTTTATGTTTTTCTGCCCTAAAACTTTTCTCTGTGTGTGTGTACATATGAATGTATATACAGGTGCATTTAGAGGTCAGAGGGTGATGTTAGATGTCTTTATTTCTGTCTACCTCGTATTTGTTTTGTTTGTTTTTGGCCACAGTCTCACTATGTAGCACTGGCTGTCCTGGAACTTGGGCTATGCAGACCAGGCTGGCCTGGGATGGCCTGCTACTGCTTCCCAATTCCTGGCATTAAAGTCATGTGCCACCATGCCCAAATGCACCTGATTTCTTGAGACAAGGTCTCTCAGTGAACCTGGAGCCCATGGTTTGGGTTTGGACTAGACTAACTAGCCAGTGAGCTCCAGGAATCCTTCCGTCTACACTCCCCAGGGCTAAGCTTACAAGTGTATGCCATCGCACCAACTCTTACAATGATGCTGCGGGTCTGAGCTCATGTGTTCTCACATTATGATCTCCCAGCACATGCCCTTCATATTTTGCCTTCCAAGAAAGAGAAATACTCTAGAAATGACCGGCAAGCAGACTTCTGCTTTTATAGAAACTACATCTACTTAACATGAAAAATGCTGTAAGTTTTTTCTACAAAACGATTGAGGCCTGACCTACTGCGGCCTCCTAACACACTTCTTTTGAAAGTGCACAGACGTCTTCCCAGCGCATTCCTTACTCAATTCCTTTTGCTTTCAGCTCCTCCTTGACACGCCTCAGGTAATGAGGATCAGGGTAGCCAAAACTGCATGAAGAAAAAGGAATCCCGTTAGCTTCCTCCCAAATAATTCTCAAGAATCTGTACAATAGCCAGGTATGGTGGCACAGGCCTTTAATCCCAGCACTGGGATGGCGACAGCAGTCAGATCTCTGTGGGTCTGAAGCCAGTGTGGGCCACACAGTGAGACCCTGCCTCTAAACAACAACAAAATCTGAACAATTTACATTTGAGCATCTAGTATTCTGGGATCCAGCATCCTCAGGCAATCAGACAATGACTGGTCACTGAAGTGCCCAGCTGACTGAGCAGCATCTGTTTTCCACACATTGCTTAACACTTTAGCTCATTCCAAGTACTGGTGCACGTAGTGTTATAAATGTCAAATTCTACAGAGAAGGTAATCATATGATAGCAGGATTTTCAAATTGGAAAACTTGACAAGGTCTCAGGATAGTTTTCTTTTGGAAGCCACAAGTAGAGAAATTCTGAGTTTTATAAAATACAATCACATTTCAAATTACATCTCCCACCATCTTGGGACTCTTTATAACGAAGACTTTTTTTCTACCGTGTTTCATCCATGTGAGTTCAGCACCTTTGTGGACTTATGGAAAGACAGGGGTGAGGGAGAGTAAGATGACCTTAAAAGAAACCAAAGCAGGGCTGGAGACATGGCTCAGAGGTTAAGAGCACTGACTGTGCTTCCAGGAGACCCAGGTTCAATTCCCAACACCCACATGGTAGCTCACACCTGTCTATAACTTCAGGTGATCTGACAGCCTCACACAGACATAAAAACAGGAAAAACACTAATGTACATAAAAGTAAATAAATAAATAAATCTAAAAGAAAACAAAAGTCAAAGCAAATAACATTCCTAGGTTCTACCTTTCAAATTGACATGAAACCCTAAAATCGATTTGGGCACCATTCATCTTGGGTTCTGAAAACCCTTTCTTCTGATGCATTTGGTGGGAGGGGGTGTAGAAACAAGGTTTCTCTGTGTAGACCTGGCTGTCCTGGAACTCTCTCTGTAGACCAGGCTGGCCTTGAGCTCAGAGATCCACCTGCCTCTGTCTCCTGAGTACTTAAAGTTGTGCCCCTACCCTGCCCTTCTTTGATACAAAATTTAATAACCAAGTCATACATGATAAATGGCAAGTAGAAAGTTGGAGGGACCAATTTTTTTCTTCAAGACAGTGTTTCTCAACATAGCCCTGGCTGCCCTGGAACTTCCTCTGTAGACCAGGCTGGTCTCAAACTCAGAGATCCACCTGTCTCTTCCTTACAAATTCTGGGATTAAAAGTATGTGGCACCACTGCCTGGCTGGGACCAATACTTTTTGTCTTTAAGCTATCATTATGGATTAGTATTTTGCTGTGTGTGTTGGCTAGTTTTAAGACACAATTGGAGTCATCAGAGAGGAGGGAACCTCAGCTGAGGAACTGCTTTCTTGTGCGGTGGTGTCACACAACTTTAGTCTTAGCACAGAGGTAGTTCCGGCCTCGTCTACAGAGTGAGTTCCAGGACAGCCAGGGTTATACATAGAAATTGCCACCATACGATCTGGCTGTATGCAAACCTGTAGGGAATTTTCCTTTTTATTTTCTTTCCTTTTCTTTTCTTTTTTGAGACAGGGTTTCCTAGTAGCTATGGAGCCTGACCTGGAACTCACTCTATAGACTAGGCTGGCTTCAAACTAAAAGATATCCATCCACTGCCTGGCACGATTTTTTATTTTTTGTTTTGGTTTTTCGAGACAGGGTTTCTGTTTTTAGCTTTAGAACCTGTCCTGGAACTCGCTCTGTAAACCAGAGCTCACAGAGAACCTACTGGCCTCTGCCTCCCAAGTGCTGGCATTAATGGCATACACCACCACCGCCTGGCACATTTTCTTAATTAGTGATTGATGTCCAGTTCACTGTCAGTGGTGTCGCCCCTGAGCTGGTCATCCTGGGCGGCTATAAGAAAGCCAGTTGTTGCCAGGCGGTGGTGGCGCACGCCTGTAATCCCAGCACTGGGGAGGCAGAGGCAGGCGGATCTCTGTGAGTTCGAGGCCAGCCTGGTCTACAAGAGCTAGTTCCAGGACAGGAACCAAAAAGCTAAGGAGAAACCCTGTCTCAAAAAATCAAAAAATCAAAAAAAAAAAAAAAAGAAGAAAAGAAAAAAGAAAGAAAGAAAGAAAGAAAGAAAGAAAGAAAGAAAGAAAGAAAGAAAGAAAGAAAGAAAGCCGGTTGAGCAAGCCATGGGGAAGAAGCCAGTAAGCAGCATCCCTCCATGGCCTCTGCATCAGCTCCTCCTGGCTCCTCCAGTTTCTTGCCTGGTTTGAGTTCCTGCCTCCTCTTCCCTCAGTGAGTCAGGAAATGTAAGCCAAATATACCCTTTCTTCCCTAGGTGCTTTTGGTTATCACAACAACAAAAACCCTAACTAAGACACTGGGCTAACATCTACTGCTGGAAGGCCTTTTCATACCACAGCCTCAAACCGCAGCACTTAACACCCCCATACTTTGTTCAGCAACCATTACATTTCAAAGGCTCTTACTTTCCTGGTCCTCCAAACGTGGATGTTTTATGATGGATGTCATTCCATGTAACGACATCAGACATTCCTGATACTCGAGAGTCCCCTACTGTGAAAATCAGCCTGTTGTTAAAGGCTTCTCTGAGCAGACCCAAGACCTTTCTCCCCTCCTGAGTATCAGGCAAGTATGCAGTTCGTTGTGTTCCCCGGAATGGCTTTCCTGGGTTAGGGTGCTCATCCTGTATGAGGAAAGGAAAATGTTAGATAAGAAATGGCATGCCTCTGAAATCTACTATAATAAAGGTGTGTGCATGATAGGTGAAGTCTACTGAAAAACAAAAAGAAAATGCTATTTTGCTCATATTCTGAATAATTCATAGTTCTCTTCAGATTACAGTTGTACCCACCCAACTCCTCCCATCCTGACATATGGTCTCTACCTTTAAAAGAAGACATGAAAGTCTAGATGCACAGCTTGGCAGAGCGTGCTTGGCATGCACAAGGGCTGTGTTCAGCCCCAACACTGTTGAAATAGCTGAAAAGACATCCAAGTTCTAAGCAAACAGTATGGCCTCTAGCTATTATGTCCCTACCATAATCACTGAATGAGTTCCTGGGAAAATCAGCATCTAAGAGGCTACAGGACGACCCCTTGGGTGCTGGTAACTCTAGCAGAGCCAAAAGAAACTCACATTCCCTGGAACACTTACTGTTTGGATGCCACTTTCTATAATGTATTGAATCACAATTGTGCCACAGTCTTCATAACCCGGAAGTGACTGTCTTAAAGTGGTGGAAGTCATGGTTCCTTTTGGCTGGTTCCCTTTCTGGATACCGTAGGACGTCTGGCACAGAGGACAGACAGGCTTGATTGACAAGGCCTTGGTGATACAAGAGGAGCAGAATTCATGCTTGCACTTAGGGAGCACATGCTTGTTGCTAATGGTATCCATGCAGATGGCACAGGCATCTTCATTATCATTCACCTTCAAGGCCCCAGAGCTGTCAGCAGAGCCTCTGAGAGGAGGTGAAGCTGCATTTGCGTCATTCCTGTCTATATCCATGGGTGTCTCGTGATCCACATTTAAGCTCTCTCCAGACGGTAGGGAAAGTCCCATTCTCTTGAACATATACTGCTTTGCCTGTGCAAGCTGATTCGGCAAACCCATCAAAGTCATTGACTCTTTAGATACCACGAAGTGTACATTTGGGTGCTTTTTCTTTAAGTCATCAACAAACTTGGTCTTGTGTAAGTGAGCTTTCCCCTTGCCCAAATGTTTGAGCGGCAGGATTTCTGTTGTTAGCTGACACATGGCATGTTGGAATGCATCAGTGAAACTGGCATAAGAGTGCACAGACAGGTCGACCTCCTTATCCCTGGGGTCAAATAGAATGCAGGTTTTCTGGGTTTTCTCTTGGACTTTTATATAAGTGTTATACTTCTCCTCTATCTCTGAGATTTCCCGGAGCAATGCTGGTTTTAGAAGGCTGAAGTGAGTTGAATCAACCTCAATCCCTGTCATGTAACCAGAGGACATTATTTCCACAGGAGTCTTGAAGGAAGTTTGGGAGACTTTTTCTGTGGCGGCTGCAATGTCAGTTTGAGACCCGAGGAGAGTTAGCTTTCTTCCCTGTCTCTTTATCAGGAGCTTTGGAAAGCAGCGATTCAACTCCTGTCTGAGTTCCATTGTTCTCTGAGTGTCCTCTAAAGAGACACAGTCTTGCTTCAGGGCTTGGGTGCATCTCTGAAAGTCTCTGATGAAAGATTCACAGGCTGCTTCTAAGTTGCCTGGTTGGCCAGTGGTGAAGTGTACAGAGGCCATATTGGGAGCACTGTCTCGGACTTCAATGCTTACACCAAATTTATTCTCTATGTACTCTATTCTACCAGGATAGGCATGTCTGAAATATTCAAGGAAAAGCAGAGGAACTTCAAAACAGTTCTCAGAATTATCTTCTAACCTTGTTTTTGGTTCCGAAGAAAAGTCCATGGCCGAGTCTTGCTGGTTGGGTGGCTGTCTCTCCACATCAGAAGGGGGGTATTTGTGTGTGGGGTACTTCTGTTTCTGCTCACTTTCCAAAAGCTGCACAGTCAAGAAATGATGTATCTTCTCAATATCTTTGAAGCTGCCACACACCTTGGCAATTCCATCCTTACCCTCCATGCTTCTGACACCAGGGCAGACAGAGGCTATGTGTGCCCTCTGCTCTTTGGAGAGTAGTTCACAGTTCAGCTCAGCAGTCACAGCAAGAAAGACCTGAAAGTTTAAAAGGCACACATACAAATTAGCTCTCTCGGATATGACCCCCTTCAGGAGAACACCCAGGAATACACAAAAGACCACGATCTTTTTTTCTTGTCTTTTTTTTAAAGCAGGGGTTGACTCCTTTAAATCTGCTGAAAGGAGCATACTGCTGCAAGCCAGGCTTGTCAGTCTCATTTGAACATTAGACTCACCTAGGGGGAGTTCAAAGATGAATTAAACAAAGAAAGTCAAGGCCAGGTCTCATTCCAGAGGTCCACATAACTAACTCGTTTGCAACCTGCATGCCAACATTCTGTATCTAAAGACAACATTATCTGCTTAACCTGGGGACTGAGAGTGCCGAGAAGGCAACGCTACTCTCTGTGAAGTTGCTGTGGTCCTCAAGGAAGAGTTTGTGAGCTTCAGAGGTAGCTCTAAATCCAAGAAGGATTCTAGCCCCCATGTCAATAAGCGTTTTGTTACTATCCTTAACTCTTACTTTAAGAAAACATGAAAACTGAAACACTTACCTCATGCAAAGTTACTAAGTCCTTTTACACCTTTGTTTTAAGAAGTGCAGTGATGCAAAAGTCCAGATTAGATAGGGAGAAAAGCAAATTGAATGTAATGTAAACAAAAATATCTAATGAAGCCAGGGGATGGTGGTGTATGCCTTTAATCCCAGCACTAGGGAGGCAGAGGCAGGTGGATCTCTGTGAGTTCGAGACCAGCCTGGTCTACAGAGCTAGTTCCAGGACAGGCTCCAAAACCACAGAGAAACCCTGTCTCGAAAAAAAAAAAAAAAATCCAAAAAAAATATCTAATGATTTATTTCCACTCATGGTTTTTGAAGATGATCTTTTTTTGTTGTTGCTATTCCTTTTTGTTTTGAAGATGTATTTATTATGTATACCGTGTTCTGCTTGCATGCCAAAATCTCATTATAGATGGTTTTCAACCACCATGTGGTTTACCAGGAACTCAACTCAGAACTTCTGGAAGAGCAGTCAGTACTCTTAACCTGAGCCATCTCTCCAGTCCCTTGCAGATGATCTGTAATCGACCTGGAACCTTCTTTCTCTAGATAACAGCTTAAAAATGTTTCCAGATTTCAGCCTGTTTGTCAGTCCTCTGTCAGGACCTTCGGGAATCTGTCATTGTTGTCATCTTCCTGGCTCCTTCCTACACCTGTGCTCAACCCAGCAGCCAGAGTCACCCTTTACCAGTACCATCCAGGGACTGGAGAAGGACTCAGGGGTTAAGAGCACTGGCTGCTCTTCCAGAGGTCCTGAGTTCATTTCCCACAACCGTCTGTCATGGGATCTGATGCTCCTTTCTGATGTAAAGTCCTACATGCACATAGAGTACTCATATAGCTAAGATAAATAAATCTTTTTTTTAAAGTACAATCCAGATCCCTCATCATCAGGCTCTGATCAATTATATTTGAGGTAACCTAACTGTCACCAAAACTCCCCTTAGCTGTGCTTAAAAGGAGCCTGCCCGCTCCCATTGGGGTTGCCGTCATTTTGTACAGGTGAGCGGCCTCACATATGCTGATAATAACACTCCTTGCTCTTACATACTGTTTGAGTCTGGGGTCTTCCTTCAGCATTTCCTCAGACCCCTACACTAGGTCCTTTAGTTTACCCATGTTCTCTAGATGAAGCATCATGTGGGTTTGTCTGTTTACACCCTGTTTAGGATGGTGGCTCTGTCACTGTACTCATCCTTCTTTATTCTTCCCGCACTTGTCACTGGAGAGAATTCTATTATACATCTGTTTACTCTTCTTTGTTTCCCTTATTCGATGTCAAGACCCTAAGAGCAGTGCACACTGTGCCCCCAGCCCTACATCAGTGTCTGTCACACCTTAAGCAGTACCTATCTATTTGTTGAATGCATTTTGTTAATGGCTGGTGCCTTCTCATCATTTAAGCCTCAGGCTAAATGTCACCTCAGCAAGAAGGTCTCCCATCTTCCCCTTGCATGCCTTCACCCTGTACCTCTCTGACACAAAACTCCTTTTTTATTCTCCTACCACATCTCTATCTTTGAAGTGCTTTTCTCAGTTCATTCTGCAGACCCCCTTACTCACTACAGGCTGCATGAGGACAGGAATCTTCTCCCTGTTTATTCACCTCTGTAGCCCAGTACCTAGAGCAGCACCTAGCTCACAGCTAAGGCTGCTGGACCAAAAGGGCAGAAGCGGTGACCTAGGGGCAGTTGTAGCATCAGTGCCAGCTCTTCTGTCAACACTCACCATCTGGACAATAGTGTCATCAGAATTATAAATAGTTCCTTCATCAAACAGTGCTTCATCCAGAGACTGGGTCACAGATGGAGGACTGGAGCTTGGAGCCTCAGCTGGCTGTGTCAAAGATGGAGGACTGGAGCTTGGAGCCTCATCTGGCTGTGTCAGAGACGGAGGACTGGGTCTTGGGTCCTCCACTGGCTTTTTTGTGGTTTCCAGGAAAATGGTCACAGGTTTGCCATCAATCTCCATCTGGTGCTCTCTCTTTTTCAGTACTCTCTCCTTAGCTTCAGGGGAGACATGAAACACACATTCACACGGAAATGAGAGAAAACTTACAGATGACCCCCAGTGTCCTTTCTGGGTTGATTCTAGGAACTTCTGAAAGTACCAAATCCAGAAATCTCCCTCATAAGTTTAGGACTTTCACACAAGCTACCCATATTCTCCCATTTGGTTTTTTGTTTGCTTATTTTTTTTGTTTGTTTGTTTTTGAGATATGTAATCCTTGCTGTCCTGGAACTCCCTATATAGACCAGGCTGGCCTTGAACTCACAGGAATCTGCCTGTCTCTGCCTCCAGAGTACTGGAATTAATGTCCTGTGCCTGCATACTTGGCCTTCCACACACTTTTAAGAATCTCTAGACAACTTTAATCCCTCACACAAGGTGAACACTCTGGAAATACTTGTTATGTTGTATTGTTTAGTTGGATGAACCCTATAATGCAGCACTGTTGTCTGAATTTCCTCAAGATGGAAACATTCTATCCTGCAGGGAAGTTCCTAGAGCCAGAAGGTAAACAAGTTAAATTAGCTGCAGGAAGTCCCTGAATCTGACCAGATTCACTAGGTTCCTCCCTGCTAGAGTAATCACTAAAGACTGCTGAGAGTCGCTCTGAGACTGGCAGGACAGAGGGACAAGGAAGACTCAGAAAAGCAGCACTGCAGAGGAGACTCTCTGACAAGCCAAGCTGCAAGGAGACCAAGACCAGACATCTGCCTGGAAGAAACAGAAACCTGCAGAGCTACTTGGAGGAGGTTTAGATCCACAGAGGCACCTAAAAAGGACATTGTTCCAGCTGCTGAGCTGCCTCCAGCCTATGCAATGTGCTTCAAGTTCCCAGCTTTGTGAGATGTTACCCATGCTGACCTGGACTTTGGTGATGCAGGTGTCTTTGAGTCATTTCAGCTCCTGTAAATAACCCCTCACCTGTACTCCTGTAAGGAACCTCAATAAGCTGGGCGGTAGTGGCACACGCCTTTAATCCCAGCACTCAGGAGGCAGAGGTAGGTGGATCTCTGTGAGTTCAAGGCCAGCCTGGTCTACAGAGCTAGTTCCAGGACAACCTCTAAAGCTACAGAGAAACCCTGTCTCAAAAAAACAAAACAAAACAAAAAAATTAAAAAGAAAAGAAAAGAAAGAAACCTCAATAAAAGTCATTAATTCACCATGTTGGGCTTTGGTAGGATCCTTCCTTTGATTTGGTCTGTTGTGGGCTCCTTATCTGAGGTGAGTGGACTTGTGTGTTGTGTCTCCCCAGGAAGAGTTTTGTGTCCCAATAAAAACAGAGGACCTGAGCAGTTGTGTAGTGTATGGCATTCTGGAATAGAAGGTTGTAGATGGGAGAAAGTTATCTGGAACTCAAAAATAGACAGCTTAAGTTTTACTGTAGACCATCATTTGGTTATTAAAAGCCGTGTTTCTAGTCTGGGTATGGTGGTATGCACTTTAAGGGTAGAGGTAAGGGTAAAGGGGGGGGGGGTCACAAGTTCAAGGCCAGCCAAGAGGAAGTAGCAAGATGCTGTCTCAAAGTGGTAGTGGTGAGGGCAAGCCCATGCTTCTGAATTGGTCTTAAACTCTCATCTCAGTGACATAGAATGATACTTTATAGTTAAGTGAGGAAACCCCTGCCAAACTAATAACCGAAAAGTTCAGAATGATTTAAATGTATATACAATAGCTGTTTCACAGAAAAGAATATATGATAATATTCCTATTGTGCATCTCCAAGGAATTTTTCTTTTGACTTTTTTTAAGGACCATAAATTACTTTTTTTAAAATATTTTATTTATTTATTATGCATACAATATTCTGTCCAGACCTCATTACAGATGGTTGTCAGCCACCATGTGGTTGCTAGGAATTGAACTCAGGACCTTTGGAAGAGCAGGCAGTGCTCTTAACCGCTGAGCCATCTCTCCAGCCCCCCATAAATTACTTTTGTAATAATTTAAAAACAAGTCAATGTGCTGGGTGCTGGTGCGTGCGCCTTTAATCCCAGATGTGAGTTCGAGGCTAGCCTGGTCTACAAGGGCTAGTTCCAGGACAGCTAGGGCTGTTAGACAGAAAAACCCTGTCTCGAAAAACCATTCCTCCCCCCCAACAAGCAAATAATAACAAACAATAAACAAATCAGTGAAACCATTATTTACAACAGGAAAGTGCTTTGGGTGTAGCTCAGTTGGTGGAGCTCTTGCCTAGCTAGCACAGGGCTCTGGGTTCGCGCCTAGATCCCCGCCCCCACCCTTCCCTTCCTCCTCTCCAGTGGGTCTGCAGGGAAAATTAGCAACTCAGCTAAAGGAAGCTATCCCTAGGAAGCAGCCAAACCAAGTCAGGGGCTGGGCACATCTAAGGCTCTGTCCTCCACTGTGAAATGGAGAAAGTCTGTGGGCGGCAGCGGCTCCCACAGGCAATGCCACACTCCCGTGGGCTCTCCTCGGAAGCATAAATGAATGTTTGGAAACCCCATGATCTGCCTTTGCACCCCACCCTGGCCCGGTTCTGCTGTCCCGACTCACCTGCCCTTTCTAGGAAGTTCACCTCGAAGGTGTCGGGGGCGCTGGGACCCAAGGGCTGGACACTGCACTCCCCGCCTCCGGAGGCCCGGCTCTGGAAGTATTTCTCTAGTTTCCTGTGGGCCCGGGAGATGGACTCCGGCAGCCGCACAAGTAGCGGGGACGGCGGGCAGGGACTGGAAGCCATGGCAGTCGGCGTCTTGCTCGCTAGGGGCTCAGGGACTTTGCACAGTCCGGACGGAGCAAAAATTTATTTTGCCCCAGAAACCCGGGCTGCAAAGTTTCAGTTTCGTTTCCCAGGAGGTCCCTCCCTGTTCCCCGCAGAGCCACCTCCTTTCTTTCCCTGCGGTCTCCTAGGGCCCTCGCTCCGGTGAGTAGTTTGTACCTCGGGCGGTGGGCTCTTGGGGTAGTAATTTCTCCGGAGTCCCAGGCAGTCTTCTTCCTTTCCAAGATCGGAAGAGTGGCGGGAACCGGGATCCCAGGACCCGACCTTCTTAAGGGAGGGTGCAGCAGAAGGATAAAAAGTTTTTCCCATGTCTGTGCTCTTTGAAACTATATTGTTTGGATTTATATTTCCTGAGATGTGATTCTGAATTAACTCATAGAAATTGAGGGTGTTTACCTGGTTGGTGACCGGTTATGTGGGTACTTAGGAATTTTCGGCTTTGGGTCCTTAAGATAGCCAGCAGCACAGATCTGCTTGCTGTCCAGAGTCCCCAGAGAGTAAGGTGGAGAGGCACCTGACCACAGGTGTTGGTACCTGTGAACAAAGCAAAAAGCCAATGCCTCCAAGAGCTGGTTTCAAGCCGAATTTTAAGGTGAGGTGGGGGAGGGGAGGAGAGTACCCCAGCCTGGGAGAGCTGTACTCTGAGAGCTCAGTCCCAGGCCTGGAGCAGATGAGATGGGTCAGGGAGAGGATGAAGGTTCTTTTAGATCTACAGTGTCAGCAGAAATGCAGTGGAGATTATGTGTATTAAGTGTAAAGTTTACACACATCGTGATGGTTTAACTTGTTACAAGGGGACGGCTCATCTTGACAATTTGACTACATCTGGAATCAGCTAAAACCCAAGCTAGCTGGGTAGAGCTTGTGAGGAGTTTTCTTCCTTCCTTCCTTTTTTTGTTTTTATTTTTCGAGATAAGGCCTCTCGTGTAACAGCCCTAGCTGTCCTGGAACTGGCTCTACTGTGAACCAGGCTGGCTGCGAACTCACAGAGCTCTATCTACCTGTGCCCTCCTCCCCAAGTCTGTGCAACACGTCTGGCTGTCAGTGATTTTCTTAATTGTATCATTTCAGGTAACAGACACACCCTAAATCTGGACCACACCTCCTGGTAGCCGTCTATATAAAAGGACAAGGAAAAAGGAAGCTTTTGCTTCTTTGCCTGCACGCTTCAGAGGCACGAAACAGATGCCCTGCAGCTGTCTCCCAGGAACCTTAGAAGTCTTTCTTCTGTGAAAACAACACTGCCCTCTGGAGGCAAGGCGGACCTTGTCCCCGCAGTCGGTTAGTATCCAGCTTACTCAAGATGAATGTATGACAACTGTGCTCTGTTTTGTTATTTTTTTCCCAACTGCGCTCTGATGTACAGTTTTTCTATTGCAAAGACATTGTAAATCGCTCCAGAGACTTAACGATGGCAACAGTTTTAGACCACTGTATTGTACGTTTTAATCATGAGTCTGTTCATAATCTTTAGTTTTTACCTACTAGGCTAAAATCATGAAAGTATGGTGTTCTCCAGAGTTTCCGACTTTGATCTAGATATCTTTAGGTCAGAGCTGTATCACAGGTTCAGTTGAATATGACCCCTGCAGGTTCAAACCGTTTTCTTAGTCCTCAAACACTGTGGGGAGCCCCACTGCTCAAAGACTGCTGTTTGGAGACTTTCAGTCTCACCACTTTGTCATCACTTTTTAAAGACAGCAGCCCCTTCCAGCCACTACAGCACCCCCCCCCCATCCTGACTTCTCTTAGGACGTAGATCAAAATTCAACAGAAGGTAGACAGTAACAGCAGCAAAATTACATGCGAGTCCTCATCATCGACATGTTAACCAAAAATTATTTTCAGGTCTCCTATGGTATGTTCTTTTTTTTTCTTCCACTCCGCCCCTCTCATTTTTTTTTTCCAAGGCTTGGCATGAAACTCTGTAGACCAAGCTTGCCTTGGATGCCTTGAACTCAAGAAATTCAGATGTCTCTGCCTCCCAGGGCTGGGATTAAAGGTGTGCACCACCACACCTATTCTATATATATTTGTTGTTGTTTGTTTTGTGACAGGGTTTCTTTGTAACAGCTCTGGCTGTCCTGGAACTCACTTTGTAGACCAGGCTGGCCTTGAACTCACAGAGATCAGCCCCCCTCTGCCTCCTGGAGTGCGGGGATTAAAGGTGTGTGCCACCATGCCTGGTGGTCTATTCTTACAAGATCCCTCTCAGTTTTAAAAGCCTTTAATCCCAGCACTAGGGAAGCAAAAGCTGGTAAATATTTGATTTGTAAGCCAGCCTCATCTACTTAGCAAGTTCCAGAGAAGCATGATGAGTCCCTGTCTCAAAACAAGAACAAAAACCCAAATTCCCTCACTTTTTGGTCGGTGCTAACTGTATGCTTTCTATTTAATCCCAGAAATAGACCACCCTCTCCAGGATCAGCAGACTACGCCTGGAAACGCGAACTGGTATAAACAGCTAAAGACCCACGTGAGACCCAAAGGATGGACTTTAACATGGTAAAAACATAAATACCTTTTTGTCATGAAGTTCAGTCATTACATGAAGAGTTCTTTCCCCAACAATAAGAAATCTGGGGTCTTCAGTTATAGCTTGCATCCTCATGGTTTTACTAGCTCAACGGAAGCTTCTCCCAGGGACTGTACAGATGGCCCAGTGGTTAAGACTGTATACTGCTCATGTAGATGACCTAGGTTTGGTTTCTAGTACCCGCACGGTGATTCACAGTGTTGCCTGTAGCTACAGTTCCAGGGGTCTGATGCCCTCTTCTAGTCTTTGTTGGCCCCTACACGCATGCAGTATACACAAACTCACAGAGTTTTTTGGGGAGGCTAGAGAGATGGCTCAGTAGCTAAGAGCACTGGCTGCTCTTCCAGAGGATCCAGGTTCAATTCCCAACACCCACAGGGTGGCTCATTGTCTGTAACTCCAGCTCCAGGGGATCCAATGCCCTCTTTTGGCCTCCATGGCATACATATGATGCACAGATATACATCTGGGCAAAACACCCATACATATACAATTATGTTTTCTGTTCTGGCTAGGGAAACCCCACAAGGCTTTGGAAGCTGGACTCTGTTTGAGAGCTCTGGCTTATTTTAGTTGAGGCCTCTGTGTCTTCTCAGGTGTTAGCCTCCAGCTTTCATCTTATTCCGAATTAGAAGTGCAGCGGCTGAGCCTGGTAGTACACACCTATAATCTGAGTGCCTGAGTGTTCATGAGGCTGTGGTAGGAGGAGGACTGCTGGGAGTTCAAGGCCAGCCTGGGCAATTCAGTGAGTTCAAGGCCAGCCCAGGTACAGCGAGTTGAACAAGCAAAAAGTGCATTGATCTCTAAGGGACCTAGGACCGGTACTTGCAGCATTTAGTATTTTCAGTGTTTCAGGCTCACAGGCTAAAAAGAACACTACAAAAATCAACAAACCAAATAATGAATCTACACAAACAACAACCAAGACATTTCCTTCCCCAGCCCAAAAACCCGTGCTCTGAGCAGCGCTTCCTCTTCCTAGAATGCATGTACTGTCCATCATCTCCTCTTTTGCAGCTTCGAGCTTTTAAAGGAGCCGTTTTCATGTTTTTCACAGGGTACTGGAGCAGCAGCTTATGCCGAAAGACCAGGTATGATCGCCTCACTCTCACTCTTGTTTAAGAAAGGCTTTGCTCATCTCTTCCCTCAGTGCAGAAGAGGGCACACGGAAGGAGACTGCCTCCCCCTCGAGGGCTCAGGTGTGTGACTGTAGGCCCTGAAGATGCCAGCTCCTCCTTCAGAAGGGAAACTGCTTCAGAGGCACTGGGACAGCTGAAGATGTGTTCTCTTTGGGTCCCCACTGTCCTTTTCCCTTATTGGCAGATATGATACTCTTTTCTCTATTCACTTTGTAGATCTGCCTGGCCAGAACTCAGATCTGCCTGCCTTGGATCAAAGGTCCGCATCACTACTCTCGATCCTGTGAGATGCTTCTGACCATAGCTCGACAGCCAAAATAGGCAGGAAGGGTGACCAAGAGCTAAAAGAGCCAACCTGCCTAATTTTAGGGGTGGCCCATCAGAGGTTTCCCGTCAGTGCTCAGGCCAGTTGAGACCAGCTGCTTAGATATGGCTTCTTTTGGGTAGAGAGGTCACCAGAAGCCTTTCTTTGGCTCAGACTAGAAATGGAGTAAATTACTACATTTAATCTGTTTTAGGATGCATGTTTTCTTGCATTTTGATGTCTCTGAAATGATCCCCAGTTTGACTGACATTCATCTTCCTTTCTCAGACACAGGCTGTGTTGGTAACTCATTAAAGACTCGACACTTCCTCTTGGGATAGTTAGACCAAGGGCAAGCCCAGAAATGAAATCTCCACTTCTCCTCATGTTCATCTTTCTGTAGTTTGTGGTCTGTAGTCTGTCTCTTATGTGTGTCTGTCTGTCCTCGTGGTCTGTCCCTAACATAGGGCTTTCTGTTATTTGGCAGCACAGAAAACATAGTATGGTAAAGGAATTAAGAATTTTTTAAAAGAGTTATAGAAGAGAAGAAGTTACTTTACTGACCCCAGCTGACCCACAAACAGATGTTCTCAACCTATATCCATGCGTTGCTTCCAGCAGTTAGGAGTTACTTTGCTTAAGGTTACCTTCAACCTATTGACTGCTTTTAGCAAATGATTACCACCACACACACACATTATTCTGGGTCAGGGACATGGAAGAATCATAGTTTAAGATTAAAGCTATGCATTTAGTTTAAGTTTTAAAAATGGATTGCATAAGTATGTATACTATTGCATAGTAAGATTGGTTGGTTGCATTTTTTTAAAGATTTATTTATTATGCATACAGTATTCTGCCTGCATGTATGTCTACATGCCATGTATACAGTATGTATAGTGTATTCTGCCAGCGTGTATGCCTGCCAGAAGAGGGCACCAGATCTTATTGTAGATGGTTGTGAGCCGCCACGTGGTTGCTGGGAATTGAACTTGACCTCTTGAAGAGCAGCCGGCACTCT